TTATCTTCTCTTCGATTGAAAATATTAGAATATTTTCTATTCCTCTGTAGAATTTCCCGTTAAATAAAATTGTATGCTGAATTGGGAAAATAGGATCATAATTTAAATTTATTCTAATTCTTAGATTTACATTAGAGACAATTATAATCGATGGGTACCAATTTTGGGCGTTGTGGGGGTACTTATCTTTCCCTATACGTAATCGATCTCTAAACCCCTTTTATTTTAAAAAAGAATGAATCCCTGGTTACATGCAGACTAATTTATCTTTTAAAATGATGTTTTCTTAAAGACACTTTTAAAAGAAAATTTTAGATATCCGACCTACCTAACTCAAAAAAGTCGATGGCGATTCCAAAACATTTCGAAACCTTTTCAAAAGAAAATCCCATGTCATTCTAAGTTTTTTCCCCGCTCGGGCGGAAAACGGTGTCGACAGTTAGGAATCCTTAAATAGATATTGCTTTGCATTTATCCATAATTATAAAAAAAACATGCTTATATACTTTTTAATGCTTAAATTATACCTCAAAAATAAATTAGTGCTCAAAGAATTTTTTACTAACAATAGGTGTCTAATGTTTCCAATATTATATTTTTGGTGTCTAGATTGTAACACCTGTTAAATTAGGCCATTATCTAACACGTGTAACGTATATAAAATTTTAAAAATTATTTTATTTAAAAAACTCAATATTATAATTAAAAAAATGAAAACCCCTAAATTTTACATCTTTCGTTGTCGATCGACCATCGGTCTGTGACTGTCACTATTGACACCATTAGAACGACTAGTTGCGCGACCATAACTCAGTCCCCACCTACCGTGAAACTGTGTTGATCGTCGTGAAAAACGTCGCGAAGGTTGTCGGATTTTTAGGTTTTTCATTATTGTTTTCCAACAATTTTGACTGCCACAATTGTCCGTACATTACATGACTGTCATCTTTGAGTTCTTCGTCCTACTCTGAACAAAATCTAACCGGTAGTGACCCTTTGTCGTCGGCAGTGGGGGATGGGAATGAGAGGGACGACGCAATGATTGAATTTTTTTTGATCTTTTTCTTTTTTCTAGAAACATTTTTATTATTAAAAAATTAAAAATATAACGGTAGACACATAAATTTTTTAAAAAATATATATAATATTGACACCTAAAAGTTTTAAAAAAATATAGCGGTAAACATCTAAAAGTATAACGGAGAAAATGTTAAACACCTTTTATTAACAAAAAAAATTCTTTAGACACCAAATCGTATTTTAGATATAATTTAAACACTAAAATGGTAGTAAGCCTAAAAAAGACAAATTAATTATGAAAACAATAGAGCATCAACCTATGAAAGAATCATCATTTTGGAGCAAATTAATTAGGTTCCATTTACATCCTTAAATGCAACCAATTTATAGCAAATAAATAAAGAATTCAATAATACGAAATACCAATGTGTATATATTCTAAACATTAATTTAGGGTTTACCAACCCTAAAATGCATGTACAATAAATTGCATAATTATTTAGGCCTAAAAGTCGTTTGCCTGTTAAATTATACGTTTTTATCTTGGGATGTTATATCCCTTAATTTTTTCTCAGTATCTTATTTTATTATCTTCATTAGAAGAAAAAATCGGTCGTTGTCAAGCACCACGAGGAAACAATTTAATCTAAAATTAATCTCATTCATTTATATATTTAAAATTTAATAATATTATTATTTATCTTTATTTAATTTTATTCAATATATTAATACCATTTAAAAAATGGCACACTTTATCGCCTATAAAAAGAAAATAAAGAAAGTAATTAATTATTTTCGTTTAAATTTTGTACACTTTTTCCATTGAAATAAAAAAAAATCCCATAAGACATGATCACTTAAGATTAAATGTCGTTAGACCTTTAACGAGTTGTGTATGTGACACAATGAATATAAAATTAAAAAAATAAATTATACAAATCATCACTAATATAAATATGTTTTAGTTTTTCCATGATGTTTCAAAAGTAACAAATTAGTCATTAAAACATAAACTTTTTTCTAATTTCTATTTTTTTTTCAAACACCCACCACAGGCATATATTCACAACTCAACGTTCACCTATAGAGAGAGTGGAAGCCCCAATGCAGTTTAGCATCGTGTCCCTTGACAGTAAGAAATATCTGAATTATATGTTTGTTTTATGAAGCAATCATTGATTCCCAAGTTGTCATAGTTTATCTCTAAGCGATCAAAACGTCCCTCCGATTGAAGGCACGCTTTCCTCATCAATAGTCACTGTTACATATTCGAACCATGAGAACCAAACCTCTTATACCGACATAAAGAATCGATTAATGCCATTCTCATATGGGTTTCCTTTTACAAGAAAAGCCTTGGAGAAGAACTATTCTTCATGGTGTTTGATTCTTTCTTCTTTTTCATTGAAGATGTCTTTCATGGATAGACTTCTTTGATCCTAATGAATGATAAAACTGCAAAAATCAGGATCTAAAGGTTGAAGGAAACCTTCCCAATTGTTCTTGTCGCTTAGTTCTCTCCAACAACTTGCTATGGATCTACCCATCACTGTTTTTTAAATTATGTACCTGAGACGACTCTAGTTGCCATGGTTAGGCACTTTATAAAGGCCTTGAGGTTTCCAAGATGAAGTGTGTATCGTTTATTGTGGTAGACGTCGAACAAGACAACAATTTTGTCGTGCGACCTTTGGGTTGGTGCTGCATGAAGGGTAGTTCATGTGAATATAGTGGTAGTACTAGTAGGGTTTTTTTTTATATATAGAAAGCTTTTGATGTGTTATCGGTCAATTTGCTACTTTTGAAATTTCTGTGAAAAAATAAAAACTTCTTCAAATATTAGTGATCATTTATATAATTTATTCTTTTTAATTTTATATAAATTATATCAACAATTCATTAAAAGTATAATAACAATTAGTCTCCAGTGACAATATTTTAATTAAATAAAAATGTAAATAATAAAATATTATTAATTTTTAATTTTACTATAAAACATACAAAATTTAAATAAAAATGATGAATAATGTAATTTATCCCAAAAAAAAACCTAGAAAGCGTGCAACGGAAGCCTTGTAGGTAAGTAAATGGATGTTGAATTAGTAGACCAATTCTTAAAAGTGTTGTTAGGCTGGGCTTTGTATTCTTTTTTAGTTAGTGGGAAAAACCCTACACTGCAAGTTTCTGCTGCTAAACATTTGGAGGCTCGTCTTCAAAACTCCCCCCCCCCCTCGTTAGCTTTTTGAAAATCCCTAGATTGTAAAAGAATGGCGAATGTTACAGAGTCATCGGTTTCTGATGCTAAGTCCAGTCGTTCTCAGAAGAAGAAACAGAGGATGAAACTGGATGCTAAAAGCGTAAATGCGCAGAAGCAAACTTGTTTAGGAACAGATTCGTTAAGGGAAGATGCTGATTTAGGACCAGAGCAATCGAGTGGTTCGCGTCGGAAGAAAAAGAGGAAAGGGAGTTCCTCTAATGCTGAAAAGCAAAGCGAAGGTGTACGGACTCCGGAGAGTCCATTGGATGAACAATCGGCTCTTTCAGAAACGAAACGAAAGAATAAGATGGCTAAATCTGGGGAATTGGAGAACTTGAATGCCATATCTGAAAAATCTTTGATAGATGTAGAGAAGGTAAGTGATTCTCATTTGATGTCCAAAACGAGTTAGTCTAGATCCTGATTGAAGAAGAAGAAGAAAGGGGAAGTTCAGGTTTAGGATTCTGGAAAATTGTAGTTTAGAGTCGGCTCATTCAGAAACGAAACAAAAGAGGAAGAAGAAGAAAAAGGTGGGTATTTTTGGGGAATTTGGCAACTTGAACGGGAAATCTATATTAGAATTGAATGATAAGGAAGGAAATTCTTGATAGATCAAATAAGGCAATGATTCACATTTGGAATCCAAAATTAATGTTGGTTTACGGTCAGAATTAGCAGGGGCTCAATTGAATGAATATTCGGAAAGGAAAAAGAAGGGAAAAGGAAAGAAGACAAGGCTTAGTTGTACGGATAATGATGATATTAGCTCAAAGAGCAATGGAAAGGATAATAATGAAGCTGAAATAACAATATCTGTCCTGAACCCATTAATGAAAATGATTTGATGGATTCTTTGATAACTGATAAGCAAAGTGATTCACCAGTAACTGCAAGTATTGGTATGGTGAAAACTCAAAATTCCCATGTTGATGGAGATAGGGAAACCTTTGAGATAGGGAAAAAGGAAAAAAACCCATCACAACAAAAAGAAAAAGTCTTCCAATCTCTTGAGTGATGGGTTTGGAACATATACAGACTTCAGTTGACCATTTAGAGAAGGAACTTACAACTGGTTCAGAAATGGATCAATGAAGTACCGGTTCGGCAAATTATGCCTGTACAAGTTTGGAGGTAGCATTGGGCAACAGCACATGCACTGAATCTGATCTCAAAGAAAGAAAAAGAAAGAAACGAAAGAATTCAAAGGGGTCTTTGTGCAAAGATGAAGACCGAAAGGATGTGGAGATTAAAACCAATGAGGAGGAAGTTGTTCCCTTCAACTTGATTGTTGCAAAAGATGATGTTGCACTAACAGCTAAGGTTTCGGAGGTAGCACTAGGCAACAGAACAGGCACTGAATCTGATCTCAAAGGAAGTAAAAGAAAAAAACAAAAGGGGTCTTTGTGCAAGGATGAATACCAAAAGGATGTTGAGATAGAAACCAAGATGGAAGAAGTTATTCCTTCTCCATTGGACTTGGCTGTCACAACAGACGATGTTACACTAATAGCTAAGGTTTCAGAGGTAGCATTGGGCAAGAGCACAGGCACTGAATCTGATCCGAAAGGAAGAAAAAGAAAGAAGTCGAAGAAGTTGTGCAAGGATGGAGACCAAACAGATGTCGAGATAGGAACTAAGATGGAAGAAGTTATCCCTTCTCCCTTGAACTTGGCTGTTGCAAAAGACCATGATACACTAACAGCTAATGTTTCTCCTTCGATCTTGGCTGTCACAACAGACGATGTTACACGAATAGCTAAGGTTTCAGAGGTAGCATTGGGCAACAGCACAGGCACTGAATCTGACCCGAAAGGAAGAAAAAGAAAGAATTCAAAGAAGTTGTGGAAGGATGGAGACCAAACAGATGTTGAGATAGGAACTAAGATGGAAGAAGTAATCCCTTCTCCCTTGAACTTGGCTGTTGCAAAATACCATGATACACTAACAGCTAATGTTTCTCCTTCGAACTTGGCTGTCGCAAAAGATGATGCCACACTAACAGCTAAAGCTAGAGAGAACAATTTCTCACGAATGTTGGACATTCATTTCAAAGAAATTGCATTAGCCGTCCCAAGAAAAGCTTCTTGTTCTTGACTTGAATGGAATTCTTGTAGATGTTGTTCAAATACCATGTAAAATCAAGCCACATGCTAGAGTAAATGGGAAAGGAGGTAATATGTGGTAAATAATTTTATCTGAAATTTCTGTTTGCCTTCAATTAATCTAACTTTGACTGGGGCCACCTTTCTTGTTTACAGTATTCAGGAGACATTTTATGATGATTTTCTCAACTTTTGCTTTAGGACATTTAGCGTTGGAATCTGGTCATCAAGAGTTCAGTATGCTCCTGCCTTTGCTTGAGAATTGTCTTCCATTGTTTACTGTGTTTTTTCTCTGAGTATTGTTAAGTTAGATAAGTGCACCATAGAGCGTAACATTCCTTCGTGAATGACATTACGCCTTTACCATGTTGCTATTATTGTTGTTGCAGTAAAAATGTGCTTGGGGTGCTTGATCTTCTTATGGACAAAAAACGGAGACGTGAACTGGTTTTCTGTTATGTAAGTAGCAATCCCTGTGGTATTTAACTATTCCTAATAAATGAGATAATTGTCAAAGGTTTGGTTAGCTAATTAGTGACTATATCATTTCCTTCTTGATTTTTCATTGTATATATGACTTCAATCAATGAGCTATACTTGCATGATTAGTTAATCAAGTAAGGTGGTCCTTTTACTGTTAATTCATCCCCTAGATGACCGCTCCGTTACTACAATTACAAACTAATTAAAATCCTTTTTCTAGGCAAATTAGTCGTGAAACTGTTAGATTCTACTGTCTGGAATTTCCCATGGTATGCTATTATTCTTGTTTTTAGCTGCAATAATAAGTTATCTAGCTTTTGTAACTTTATATTAACAATATAAATGGAATACATCCATCTATCTTGCAAGAACAAACTTAAAGGGTTGACATTAGGGTGGACCGAAAGTCTGCTAAGAACTTGATATGTATTTCAAATGCAATGTCTGCTGTTATACAAGCATATGCTGGAATAGTTTTCAGCTACCTTTCCATTAAAGGTTCTGCCTGAGAAATGGACCTTATAGCCTATCCTATGCGATGTTAATATTCTTGTAACCTCTATCATCTTTTGTAGAGGTTTGATCAATTGAAAGCTGCTTCTCTCTTTTGTAAGTACACCAATGGGTTAAGTGCTGTGTATGATTTATTCATCTCATGATATGGGTTTAATGCAGGGCCGAAACCTGTGTACAATTACAAAATTCAAAACCCTCGAGAATGAGGATAAACCGTTAGTTTTGAAGGAACTTAGAAAATTATGGGATAGGCAATTACCTAACCTTCCATGGAAGAAGGGAGAGTATGATGAATCAAACACGCTTTTGTTGGATGATTCTCCTTATAAGGCTTTGCGAAATCCTGTGAGCTTTTAACTAGTTTCCTCTATTTGCTTATGGCTTATTTAACACTTTTCAGATTGTTGAAATTCAAATGATGCTCTAATGCTTTCAATCTTTTCATTGGTAGGCAAATACTGCTGTATTTCCAGATCCTTACCAATACATGGATGCTGCAGATTGTTCATTAGGTGAGACATGAACTAACATGTTTTAGGGAATTACAGGTACACAAACAGATTGACCATGATACAGTATCTAAGCCTTCAAAGGGGGTATATTATTGATCTTACCTTTTTGGTCTTTTCACGGTATAGAAAAAGCAAAAATGGATCTTTTTAAATAGGTTCTGTAGATCCTACCCTTACCTTTATTGAAACCATAAACTTGTTGGGTAAAAAATGCCTTCTCCCTGTTCGAGGAACTCTGAAATTATGTAGTCGGCCTTTGTATTTGCATGTATTACTGTGTTGTGAGGCTGCGTTCACTATATGTAACAGTGTAATTGCACTGCCAGTCATGTGATTTTTCAAGCATAACCATAACTCAGTCTCAGCTGACCTTTTCTTCTGTACATATATAACCAAGTTTCGTTTGCCTGTACTCTGTAAATATCCCTAGTGATGGTTTAGTTATGTTTTGGTATTTGGATATACTCTAATATTTAAGCAGAGCGCGTGTGTGTGGGTGGGTGGGGGGATAAAAATGAAAAACAATGACAAAAGCCAACAGTTTTATGGATAATTTCTTATGCAAATGATATTGGTTCATGTTACAGATCTTACCATTTGGGTTTGCATTGAAGGTCATCTGTAGTGTACCTAATTCCTCCTCCGGCTTATTTTCCTTGCGTCCTTTTATTGCAATTTTCATTGTTAAATAATGTATGCAACAGCACCTGAAGGAGATCTTCGGAAATATCTTGAACGGTTGGCTGAAGCAGAAAATGTTCAGCAGTTCATCGAGCAAAATCCATTCGGGCAACCGGCCATCACAGAGACTGATCCACATTGGGATTTCTATTCCCAAATCATAGAAGACAAGACGTTGCAAGCTCGGTAATTCCCGCTCCAATTTTTCGCATGTAAGTCTCGAAACAAATCCTTCATTTTTGACATCTTTTGAAAGTTATAGGCATTTAGGTTAGCATATGGTGATTTCTGCTGATGATAAAACCTTAATTGGCCTTTCATAGTTCACATTGGTCGGCTCTTTTTGAGGTGGTCTCCCTTCCAAAATACCAGGAACGATGTTGCTTTGGCTCTATTTTTCTCGGAGTATTCGTGTTCGATGTATATTAAGAAGGTCGGGATATGATTCTCCGGTGGCTTCGGAAAACTCTTCGACGGTTCTTGTTCTCTATTTTCTTAGTAAAAGTAATTGTGTCTAAAATCATTATTTTGAAATTTAGTTTTTTTTAGAATATATAAATTTGTGACATGATTTTAAGCAGCAAATTATGAAAAGAGCTTTCTATGAAAGACAAAAGACATCTTATACTCTTGACACTCTAGTGTGACATGACGTCAAGTTTCAAACCCTCAATCATACTTAAAGAATTTAGTACCTCATCTCATTAGTCCAACTGATTGTCATTTAAATTCATATTTATTTAATAATAGAATCATTTATATAAACTACTCTTGTTTTTAGTGTAATTTGTAAGAATAAATTATATTTAAAAATAACTTTCTATGAATTTACACATTAATCGATTAAGATACATATATAAGTAATTATATGAAAAACTTTGATCACCTCTCTATCTGATCATGGTGATGTCTTCAAATATTACTTGAGTAATTTAGACACTAAAGTTGTAGTTATCCAAATAAAGAAATTAGAAGAGAAAGACCCTAACTTTTATTTTTGGTTTCATAATTTTGATGTCTTGTTCTTTTCTCATTTGATCATTTATGGGTTGGTTTAGTGAAATATATTATTAGACTTATCGAATAAGATTTAGTGTTCAGATTTTAATGTCATGAACAAAATAAATTGAATCGAGATATTATTCTTATAATAGATTTTGTACATTACATGGTTTATATAAATTAGATGCAAATGATTATATTATAAAATAAAATAAAATTTTCATATGTTTTGATTTTAGTCTGTTTTTAAAATTAAATCCTATCTAATTTAAAATATTTATTATTTTCAAATATTTATGAAGTTGTATATCCTTAATTGTCAAATTGCAACATTTTAGTGAAAAAAGAAAGAAAGAGAAGAAACAGATGTTAACAAATATCTACACGTCTAAATTTGGTAATTGATACAATAGCTTGATTTATAATATTTCAGGTTGGTTGGTATGGATTGGATTATTATTTTTAAGGGTAAATTTTCTAAAATGTTAATTGACTTTACACTGTATATCAATTTTATTATTGGATTTAATTTTAATATTAATTTGGGTAAAGTATATAAATAGTCCTCAAACTTTTAGGGATTTTGTATTTTATTTACCTAACTTTTAAAACTTGTAATACAATCATCACACTTTTAATTCGTTTTCATTTTGATCCCGTACCTCCCGTGACACTTAATTTCCGTTAATTCCCCTTCTTCTTTTTCTTCTTCATGCGTGGTTCAAACTTTTGGTTCTTCTTCTTCGGTCTTCAAGTCCATGGCTATGCATGATTCAAACTTTTGGTCTTCTTCTTCGCTCCTTGGTGCTTTTTCTTGATGTTTTTAAGTTTCATTGTTTCATCAAAGAGGAAAATTTTATTGTGCTACCTCGGCCTTGACCCTCGTTAACCGCAAAACGGATCGGTCCAACAAAAACAAAAATCTATGTTATCGGTGGGGGAAAAGTATTGCGATTTTTTCAAGGGGATTAGTTGTTTGTTTATGGGTCAAGGCCGAGACAATGGTAGTACCAGCCTTCTTTGCAAGAACCAAATATGAAAGTGGAAGCGATGGAAACAGAGAGGAGTGAGTTCGCCCTGGATTTACAAAGAGAGAGCATCAAAATACTAGAGCTCCAAATCGTTTCCATCATTCACAAAAATACCAAAAGATCAATGATTTTTATTCCAACAAAAGGGGCAAAAGTCTAGGAAAATAAGAATTATGGAGGTATGGGATTTTCCACAAAAATCCGTAGCCATGGACAAATATAACCAGTGCTGGAAATTAGGGACAAATTTTAGGGTTTATAGGGCAAATTTTTTTGGGGGGGGGGGGAAAGAAGAAGAGTTGACAGAAGTGAGTTGATGGCTTATCCAACTTACGGAAGGTAACTCTCACACCCCAAATTAGGGGCTAAAAGTTATTAATTTTAAAGCATTGAATTAAAGTCATATTAAGGGAGAAATTGAAGACCAAATTGTAATTTTTTCAAAGTTACAGTTCGTTTTCGAAACCTGTGTGAAGTTCAGAGACTTATCCTTGAATTATTCCAATTTCACCTAGTAAATTAAAACCCGATTAACCCCAAAAATCCCCAAAATTCAAACCTATGTAATCCCTAACCCCGACTACACCCCGTCGATCATTGCCTTAATTCGTCGCCGTCCGACCACCTTTCGATACACTACCACCCCCGTTTGAACGACCGTATTGCCCCTACCAAAGCCCAAGCATCGTTGCACCGTGAAACACCTTATATCACCGTGAATCGATGATTTTTTATGCGATGGAAATCCCAAAATTTCGCCGTTGTTTTCGTCGAATTTCGGCCAATCTAGTCGGCGTTGTCGTTCACCACCATTTCCATAAGCTTTAACGGTGACATGCGAAAAAACCCGACCGGTTTCATTCCTCGTTGACGTGCCGTCACCGATCTGACCGTGGGTAAGTTTCGGGTTTATAGTTTTGTTAAGTTTCTTTTGGTTTTAGTTAATTTTTGAATTGGCTTGACTTGTTGATGGTGTGTAGGTGCTCATGGATTAAACGACCGACCAACCGGATCTCCGTTGTCGTCGCCATACACCGACAGTTCGCGTGGGCTTACTCTGCATGCCCTGGAAATGTTCTAGAACTGGTCCAGCCAGTTTGGACCGGTCTGAACTGGCCTAACTTGACTCGAACCAGTCAACCCAACTCGCCTGCCCAACCGCTTGACTTGATCCAAACCGATTTGATCAGTCAGACCGTTGACTTTGACCAGTCAGACCATTGACTTTGACCGAGTCAACCCGTTGACCGTTGACTATGACTTTGACCAAAAAAGTTAAATTTTCTGAAAAGCCTGTTTTATGTTTTTCAGCGTCTTGAGTCCGAATCCGAATCCCGTTTTGCCAAATTCTCACCCGGTAAGTCATTTTTCAAAGTTTTATCTTCGAATTCAAGTTGGTTTTTCATTTAAGTTCAATTTCTGACGTAAAATTGTTTGATATGTATCTGAGGAATTATTGGACATTGAATTAAAGTTCCAGGATGATCGAATGAAGTTTTAATAGTCGATCGATATGGCATGAAAACCGAGATAATACTCTTCTACCTTTTATATGCTTTTAACAACTCGCTAATAAATGGTAAATACATGAATAAAAATGATTGGTCCATTAGGTGTAGTTAACTATCTTTGGACTCATATGGAAATTGAATTAAAGACAAATCACTGTATAAGACTCTAACGGCTCGAAAAAGAAATTGGTAGACTGATTGAAAATAAATTGTAGTTCAATGATTTAATCAGTAAATCAATCAATCTCAGAATGCGTAAATTCTGATTAATCTTGTTAAAGATTAAATGATGGAAATATTTGGATAAAGCACTTGGGGTAAAATTACGAAAGTGCCTTTGTATTGTAAAAGGACCAAGACATCTCCTAGTGGTGAAAATAACCTCCAGTGATCAAATGAACGATGTACTTTGAATTCTAAAGGAACTAGAATACTTTCAAGCCTAAGTTATCATAAGAAATGCCACTGACAGAATTGAATGAAATGACGGTAATATCCTTAAGAGTAAAAAGAACTATGAATAAATATGATAATGAAGATGACTTGGGAACTTAAATTATGATCCACTTGAATCTTGGAATCACCGATTAAATTCCTGATTTAATTTGAATACCTCTGAAGTGTATTATGATTCGAAGCACGTCCAAACTCTGGAATAACTAAATACCCTCAGCTCTGAAATGAACAAATCAACCTCATATACTAATATGACTATATTATATGACCAAGATAAACGGAATGAAAGTACTGTATATATTCGAATTTCAGAAATGATAGAATTTGCAATACCCCAAATGTCGAACTAGGGACTTTATTGAAAAGATTTAAAAATGTAGGATTTAAGTGTTTAAATGATAAAAGAGGGTAAATGATTAGAATATTGTTTTAGATTAGATTGTAACCATAGATGAATAGAGAGGGTATTTTAGTCCTTTAAAGAGGAAATAAATTTAATAATTATTTTAATAAGGTATTTAAATAAGGAAAAGGGAAAATGAGATACAATGCTATATTCTCTATATTCTCTTCTTCTTGCTGTGGTAAAAGCTCTCCACATATCTCAAAGGTAAGATCTCAAATGGCTAAGTTATGGATGAGTTAATAGAGATTGAAGAAAATGGTTTTTTGAGTGATATGTTAAAATAAGAGGGTTTATAAATGTTTAATGGTAGATTTGACTTGTCACAGAGGTAAATGAGAGATTAGAAGCATTGCATAGGATTAAGAACACGTTAGGAAAAGTGGTGTGATTCTTAGAATTGAATGTTCTTGGAAGATGTTAGATGTTTTAAGAAACAAAATGAAGGAAAAATAGTATGGATAGTTAAAAAAGAGTTTCATAGTATTGTAGGGTGTATATATAATGAAAGTTTACCCAATTTGGGTGATAATTAGGTTGAAAACTAGAAATTCGGGTATCAGTACTGATAGAACAGTACCGATACTATAGGCTAAAATGGGATGAATCTTCTATGTAGTATCGATACTGATTTAATCAGTATCGATACCGGCAGGTGGGTATCGATATCGAAGAGAAGAGAAGATATCGATACCATTTCAAAACAGAATGCAAAAATGGTATCGATACCATAACATAATATCGGTATCATAGTATAGTAGTATCGATACCATGGTATGTGTATCGATACTGAGGAGCCAGAAATTGTAAGATAGGCTGATAATGTTGTAGAAAAGTTAATAATAGGTTATATTGAGTAATGTTTAAGTGTAATTGTCAGGAAATATACTAGCAATTGATATTGTACATGTATTTAATGAATTTTGAGTAGATCGAAATCAAGTTCCCGAGTCAAGAAAATAAAGGGCAAGGGCAAATTACTCGAGTGATCAGCGTTGCATTTTGGATACAGTAGCTAGGCAAGCCAGGTAAGTGCATTTAATTGTGTAACTATATGATATACTAATCATATATGTTTGACTCTTAAAAATGTATGTGGTGATTACCAAATAGGCACTAAAC